ACTGACAGCACTGGTTAGGGTGAACTAAAGTGACAAGTATGTGGATGCAGGAAAACCAATTTGAAAGCTGTGGGCAAGTATAGGTGAGAACACATGAGCACTGATAGCTATTGACTAGGGGACAATCCTGGGTTCTAGTTTTGGCTGAGCTTGTGATTTGTTGTTTGTCCTTGGACAAGTCCCTTGCCCAGTCTGGGCCTCAATGTCTGATCAGTTCAATGAGATTAGATTATCTCTGAAGTTTCTTTTAGCACTAAAGTTCTTGGATCTTCGTTGGAGTTAACTATCTTAGGAGAATTTCCATTACACGCAGCAGACATAGAATAATGAAAAGTCTCAGAAAAGTGAGGGAGACTTCATGAGGATTAGAAATAGGATATCTGGTACCTGTAGCGCCCCTAAATATTTATAAAATATATGCCTACCTGAAGTCTAGCTCTTTACTGAGGATTTTGAGCCTATTGCCTAGAAACATAATATTGTTTGGCAGTTTTAGAATTAGTACTCTTTCTGTGCAAGTAAAATATATATGAATATTTATTATGAAGAATGCAAAAGAGAAAGAAAATGGACTGTGTCTGGATTGTGCCTGGGTTTAGAATGGGAAAATACAGAAGGAAAGAATTAAACAATCAAGACAGGAGAAGGGGGAAAGGAGGACATAACCCTTAGAGATACATGTATTTTTTTAACATAAAATGCACAATAGGAATATGATTTTCATAATGTTTGCAATAAAATTAAAGGTAGAATAAGCAAGGAGAGGAATTTGTTAAGAGTAATTATCTGTTGTGTCACTATTCCTTGGAGAAAAATTAAGGCTTTGTCGTTCCAAGAGACCTATGCTCTTAGGTGTCCCCTGTGAATGTTTTGGCTGGGACTGTGCCCTGCCCCTAGAAATCGAAGCACTTGCGTGTATGCACAGTCTGGCACTAGACTGGGGCTCAGTTCCCATAGCACCCAGGTAAGGAAAGGTCTTGTCCAAGATCACTGCCATCCAGGGGCAGGAATGCCAAACAGGCCTTCTTTTGTCTGAAGATTGAGGAGAAGCAAAAGAGCATAGAGAAACAAGTATATATATTTTTAAACAAACATACTTTATTACTGCACACTTTTTCTTTCTTTGTTTTAAATATGTTTTTATTGATTTCAGAGAGAGGAAGAGAGAGATAGAAACATCAATGATGATGAGAGAGAGAATCATTGATTGGCTGCCTTCTGCACACCTCCTGCTGGGGATTGATCCTGAAACCTGGGCATGTGCCCTGACTGGGATTGAACTGTGACCTCCTCATTCCTAGGTTGATGCTCAGCCACTGAACCACACAGACCGACAACCATTTTTTTAATAGTCTAATTTTCAGCAAAGTCATGTGTGTATTGTCAAGAGGACAATAGCCTTTTGAACTATTTGCTGCAAGAACTTCATTTATAAAGGCCCGATTCAGAGTCATTTGTCACTGAGGAGTAATGACAACCTGACTGTCTGGTCAGGACTCAGACAGAAGTCTGTAGGTGTATTTTTAAATTATAGCCTTTCTCAGGCAATTAATCCCTGGCATTTAGCAGAGGTTGCTGCTGCGTTTCTCTCTTGTTCCAGAGGTATATTTTTCTTGTATTCGGTACTTGTCTTAGATGCTTGATTGTTTGAAGGGTGTTTTTTCCCTTATAAAATATTTTACAAGAAAATCTTACATTTTCTCTCTCTCTTCCTCAAATACCCCTTGGAGAGTTAATCAGAGATGCATAGAGTTCAACAACTGGGAAAGCCATTAATGACTCAGTCAGCATCTATCCTGCTGGCTTAAAGGCAGTTTCTAGCTTCTGGCTGATGAGATTGATGAGGATTTCTCTGGTGTCTCCCTGCAAGTGTTTTGGTGGGAAAGTCCTCCTGTGGTGGAGGAAAAGCACCAGCACTCTGATCACTCTGGTCTTCACCTTTATTGTGTGTGTTTGTTTTCGTTAATCCTCAAGAGAGGATATTTTTTCCATTGCTTTTTTAGAGAGAGTGGAAGGGAGGGTGTGAGGGGGGAGAGAGGGAGAGAAACATCAACGTGAGAGACACATTGTCTGCTTGCCTCCTGCGCGCGCCTAAACTGGGGCGGGAACTCACAACCCAGGTACGTGCCCTTGACCAGGAATCAAACCTGTGACCCCTCAGTGGATGGGCCAGTGCTTTTACCACTTAGCAGCACTGGCCGGGGCATGGTCTTCACCATTGTTGTTTATTTTATTTAAGCTCCCCTTGAAAGGGCATTAACTATGTTAGGCCCCAGTATTTAGCACTCTCCTCTGTTTCTAAGATAAACCCTCTCTGTATCTTTCTTTTTTCCACTGTTTATCTATAAAACAACTTCCAATTCACTCCTACTGTCTCTGTCTGACCAGTTTTGCCTTCTTCATCTTATGGAGCCATGCTTCATGCTGATCTTGTACTAGCACTGAAGTGAGTGGCAGAGTCTGTGTAGTTTTCTAAAAAGAACATTATTTTTTAAGTACTTTTAATTCCTTTGCTTTTTTCTTGGAACTTTTACCAATCTTCCTGTCCCCTCCTTCTACTAGTAAGCCACCCCTCCTCCAACCCTCCGCAAATATCCTATGTGTTGAAATTTGTTTCCCCATCTCAATTCCTTATTATTTCTGAATTCTCCCTTCTTTTTAGACTATAAAACCTTTGACACCGTACCCATTCCTGTTTTTAAGGTTTTTCTGGTCAGTAAATGCTTGAGCTGTTTTTGTTATAGGCTGTTTTCTCCTAGATGTCTTTGTTTTTCTTCCATAGGCAGCATCATCTCATTTGTGTGTTTACCGTGTTTCACCTTTTTCTGATGATTCTGGTTCCTATTCTGCCATTTCTCCTTTGCTAGGGTTCTGAGCACTGTCAATTTGAAGTCATTCCTACATTTTATTGAGATGCTACTTAGCTCCTCCTCCATCATTAGTTAAGATGTTAAGTTGAGGACCAGCAAATACATCTCCACTCACTTTGACTGGGGATCGAATCTGCAACCTTGGCATATCAAGGCAATGCTCTAAGAAACTGAGCTACCCAATGTAATGATGCCTAATGTAACCATCAGATTGAGATGATGTTTGTTTGCTTGTATCTGAGCTGCTGATCTCATTCTTATTTTCATACACACATACACACACATATATATATATATGGTGTCCCCCAAAACATATACACACATTTTTGAATAATTATAGGCAGTGTTTATTACAATACATTTTATTTCAAAATCAAGCTATCACGTATATATGTATGTATTAATTTTCATATACTAGTATATATATCTTGTCTCTCTTCTGCCTCTTCCTTGATCTATAGAATTTCAAATCAAAGGAATGTATGTAGAGAAAACAATAGTATGCTTTTTCTTTTGGGAAAATAAAAATCAAGTATTGACTTTTAATGGTTCAGCTTCCAGAACCCCTGGTATTGATTTGTCTTTAAATGTTCAGCATCCAATTCCACCAAGATATGAAAACCTTCCTTAGCCTTTTGTTTCTGGCTTGTAAAGCACTCAGTGGTCCATTTGAAAGGCAAAGTGTTGTCTTAATTTTGGTTCCAGGGCCAGTTTGAAGATTATCTTATTAATCAGTCTCTCGGAGGTTCATTTATTTTGTGGAGTTTGGGTAAGCAGCTGATTAACTGCTCGGGCCAGCCAGTGCCCTTTGGCTTGTTGTTCCTTTGATGCATTGGAAACTAAGCCACGTGAAGTCTCTGCCCTCTCTTTTCTTGTAGGAAGCAGTGAAGTACAGTGCAATGAGCAAGGGCTTCAGAGTCAGATCTTCCTTAAATCCTGCCTCAGCCACTTACTAGTTGTGTGACTTTGGGCACTTATCTCTCTGGTCCTTAGTTTCTTTATCTGTAAAACAGAGCTAATAATATCTTATGGAATAGCTAAAAGTATTAAATGGGATAACATATTAATAACCTTTGTATTAGAATGTAGTAGATATTTTATAAATGGTGGTTATTACAGACTGTAAAGAAAACACCTATACTTTGTTCTTTTTACTCAACTGACCTGACATATTTGTATTGTCAAATAATTCTTTGTCATTGTCCATTTTTCAGCCTTTAAAAGAAAGGACTACTTAATGTCTTTTTTTCACTTATTAGTGTTTTTTTTTCACACCAAGGATCTAAACAGATTCATTGAAAGATAACCATTTTTTGGATGAAATTGATGAGGGAAGTTTTCTTCCTTCAAGATCCCCAAAAGACAAAATTTCTCTTTATCTTTCAACTTAGAAAAAAGTATCCATTCCAGATCCTTTAGAAGATCTAAACCTGGCTTCAGTTTCAGAAGCAGCAAAGCTCAGAGATCACATTAATTCAAGAAAAACCTTTCTCCTCAACCGCATCCAGCATGGCCAGGGTTGAACCTGAGGAGGGGTGGTGAAGGTAAAGAAGACAGACAAGAGAATACAGTTGGGGCCAGGTAGGATCACTGTGCCTCGATGAGGAAACAGTGACACAGCCTGTAAGCTGAAGCTTTATTTTATAGTCACATCACACAAAGCAAAACAAGGGGAGTGTTCCACATGTTTACATTATTCTTGTGAGAGAGTTTCAAATCTATTTCGTTACTCAAGTCTTGTTTTGGCAGCACTTGCTGCACCTCCTACAGTCCATTAGCTACCTAGGAACAAGGGAGGACTATAAGGTCAAGCTTAATTGTGCTGGGAGGGCTCTGCCCTCCAAGCTGGGACTTAAATGTGGCTCTGCCACAGGTCAGTCCAAGGCTTGACCCTATAGCTGCTCCCTATTCTCCTCCTTACTGAAATAAATGCTCCTGGATCATTTAGTTGAGGTACTCCAGAAATAGAGTATATGAATGTGCCACCCAAATTAGTAAGCAGACAGATCACTGATTTCTCTGGGGTCTTCCCCTAGGTGTAGGAATTTAGTTGGGGATGCTCGTCTTTTGGGCTGGTGGCTGATTCTGCTTTAGTGACTCTCTTATGTGCAGTCTTTTTGTTTCCTCCAGGGACAATGGTGACAGATCCAGGCACCGAGCTCCACGCAACGCCCGGATGTCTGCACCTTCGCTGGGACGCTTTGTACCAAGGTAAGAACTGGAGAGTTAGTCTTTATGAGAGACTTTTATGAAGGAGCCTTTATGAAAGCCTGGGTTTAGTTTTTAAACCTACTTTTTTTTAAAAAATATATTTTATTGATTTTTTACAGAGAGGAAGGGAGAGAGATAGAGAGTTAGAAACATCAATGAGAGAGAAACATCAATCAGCCGCCTCCTGCACATCTCCCACCGGAGATGTGCCCGCAACCCAGGTACATGCCCTTGACCGGAATCGAACCCGGGACCCTTCAGTCCGCAGGCCGACGCTCTATCCACTGAGCCAAACCGGCTTCGGCTAAACCTACTTTTTGATCTTTGAACTGTCCATATCTGGAATTACTTTCTAGTGAGCCTATGATCCAGCCCTGCCACCTAAAGACTTGACAGGAGATGATTGGCCACAGTAAAAAGAGATAGAATAGTGGTAGTGGGAGCATCCTGTTCAAGAATAAAAGCCCTGGGAAACTTTAGAAGAAAGATCAAGAAGGAGGTACAATTCTGTGAACGTACAAATCCTAGGAATTTTTACTCCACTCCGGGCTTCTGTGGATTCCTAGGTCTAGTGCAGTGGTCGGCAAATTCATTAGTCAACAGAGCCAAATATCAACAGTACGACGATTGAAATTTCTTTTGAGAGCCAAATTTTTTAAACTTAAACTATATAGGTAGGTACATTGTTATTAATTTAATTAGGGTACTCCTAAGGCTTAGGAAGAGCCACACTCAAGGGGCCAAAGAGCCGCATGTGGCTCGTGAGCCGCAGTTTGCCAACCATGGGTCTAGTGGATTCGTTAGCATTGATTCATAGTATATCTCCCTTGTTTTATGGTCGTCTTTAGTAGGCTTTTCACATGTGATTCCTTCTTGTAGGCGTTTCTTGCTGCCTGAGTACTTGCCTTATGCTGGGATTTTTCATGAACGTGGACAGCCTGGCTTGGCTACTCACTCTTCTGTTAACAGGGTCCTGGCAGGTAAGGAAATGTTTCTTTGGATATGAAAATTTGAAGTGGCAGGGAGCCAGGTAAAACTTTCCCCTCCTTTACTTATATTGGTTTGACAGCATCTTGCTACCTGGACAAAAACTCTGTTTTGAGGTGTTGTACTCAGTTCCTTATTTCAAGGCTAGAAACTGCAAGATTAAAGAAAATTGTTTCTCTCTCTTTTTTTTAAAAAAATATATTTTTTATTGATTTTTTACAGAGAGGAAGGGAGAGAGGTAGAGAGTTAGAAACATTGATGAGAGAGAAACATCGATCAGCTGCCTCCTGCACATCCCCCACTGGGGAAGTGCCTGCAACCCAGGTACATGCCCTTGACCGGAATCGAACCTGGGACCTTTCAGTCTGCAGGCCGACGCTCTACCTGCTGAGCCAAACCGGCTTTGGCGAAAATTGTTTCTCTTGCATATTTCTACTTCCTTCAGACATCTTTCAAATTCCCCCTCCCATTTAAACCATTTTTTTTCTCTTAATTTAGCAATTAAATTCTGGCTATTGAATGATAGCAGTGTCTTATTCAAGTTTCAGTTGGTGAGATACTCCTGAGCCAGAGCCTGTGATTTAATTAGGGGCTTAATGCACACCTCTCCTACCCTTTGCTACTGGCAGCACATGGACACTGTGGAATCTTCCAAGAAAGGAGGAGAGACGCATAGAGCTGGCTCAGAAATCTCCACAGAACAGAAGAGGCAGTTTTATGTGGCTGAATAGCTTAGTGACAGGGACTAAGATGCATGGTGCAACTGGGCTCTGAGACATAGTGTGTGCTGCTGCTTCTGGGCAGTCTGAAGAAGAAACTAGCAGAATTCTTTTTTTTTTTCCTGACAAAGGTTATTTCTCCATCACACTCTTTTCCTCCATTCCCATCACGTCCACTGCCAACTTGTAATTTATGTATGTAAAGGCATAAAAGGTTTAAAAATCAAGTCATGCCCTGGCCAGTGTCATTCAGTTGGTTGAGTGTCATCCCATTTTTCACTCTCCCTTCCTCTCTCTAAAAATCAATAAAATATTTTTAAAGTCAGGGCATTTAAATATATCTTTACTTTTTTTTAAAGTATATCTTTCATAAGCAATGCTTACGTTTTGGAAAATCTGGGCCACATGAAGGTTAAAGGTAGGGATTTGTATGTGAGCCAGTGGCACTGTCAGGTGGGAGGATGTGACTTTTCTTTTTTTTTTAATTTCAGAGAGCAAAGAAGAGGGAGAGAGAGAAACATCAATGATGATAAGAGAATCATTGATTGGCTGCCTCCTGCACCCCACACACTGGGGATCGAGCCCACCACCTGGGCATGTGCCCTGACCAGGAATCGAACCATGACCTCCTGGTTCATAGGTCAATGCTCAACCACTGAGCCATGCTGGTTGGGCTCCATTGATTTTTAGAGAGGGAAAGACAGAGAGAAACATTGATGAGAGAGAAACACATCAATTGATTGCCTCCTGCACGAGCCCTGACCAGGGCCCAGGCCTGGGAGGAGCCTACAGTCAAAGTATGTGCCCTTCACTGGAATCGAACCTGGGACCCTTCAGTCTGTAGGCCGACGCTCTATCCACTGAGCCAAACCGGCTAGGGTGAGAAGGTGATTTCTAATGAATTGCTATGACAGCTGAAAGGCATGGGATCTGGCCTCCCCTGAGCAGTATCCTTGACCAAACGTCAAGGCCTAGAATTCCCAGTAATATTCGTGCTTTCTCTGTTGGAGACCAGGACTTCGTAGGCCCAGGTGTGGCCAGAAGCATACTACACCATGGTCTACTGACAGCCTCATCTGAGGAGGTTTCTGGCCCGAGTTGTAAACAGATCCCATGGCTCTGCTTCTTGCTTGTCGCTTCTGGTGGGGACATGTAGAAGCTCTTCGCTGGCAGATAATCACTTGCTGCCAGACAGCACTATGGAGCTCTTCTCCACCCTTCTTTGTTCCAGACATCTGCCTCCACCACCCCACACAGCACCTCCTGCTCCTCTACTGCTGGAGAAATCTCTGTTTCCTGGCATTTAGTTTTTTTGGAACAGCTGTATGTTGTTTTTTCTTCTTTTGATTTAATAACTCTACCTTCATTTTCTGTTCCTTACTTTATGCCCAGAGGTCTGACCCGAAGGACCCAATTTCACTTATGGATACATTTGAATATTGGGGTTGTGTTACAGCAGCCAGTTGTTTCTATTAAGAAACATTCTCTAACAAAGATACAAAGGGCCACGAGGGGAAGGAAATCTAGATTTTTTAAGAATCTCACTCCTGAGTTAGATTAGCAGATGGTTTCCATTCATAATTAAACTAGCTTCTCCCATGCTCTCAAGATACATGTTACAGAGTGCCCATTGCCCTTTTCTTAAAAGCCTTCATTTTTTGTAGATATTTGGATGTCTCTTCCAGTTTTTGACAGTTGTCTTACCTTTTACTTCTGTTGAGAAAAGCCCAATAAAAACAACAACAGCAACCAAAGAAAGCCCAACATTGAGTGCTTGCTGTATACCAAACCATAGGGAGTGATTTATTTATTTTTTTAAAAATCAATATTTTATTGATTTTTTTACAGAGAGGAAGGGAGAGAGATAGAGAGTTAGAAACATCCATGAGAGAGAAACATCCATCAGCTGCCTCCAGCACACCCCCCACTGGGGATGTGCCCGCAACCAAGGTACACGCCCCTGACCGGAATCAAACCTGGGACTCTTCAGTCCACGGGCCGACGCTCTAGCCACTGAGCCAAACTGGTCAGGGCAATAGGGAGTGATTTAAGTGCTTTTTCCCAGTAATTTCATCTCTCACAGTAATCCTATGAGATGAGTGCTGTTATCTAACAGTAAAGAAAACTAAAAACCTAGAAGGTTGACTTGCCCAAAGTAGTGAAGCTGGTAGAAGAGCCAGAACTGAACCAGGCAGTGAGACTCCAGAGATTCCTAATCTGCCTCCCCACAGTTACTTTAAAGGACAAAGCATCAAAATAGCATTCTTTTTCCAGGATCTTACTCTGGAACAGAGAAAACACCCCCAGGGAACTTGCTGACCTTCAGGGTTTTTCTTATTCATTTTAGTTCCTCTATAGGTATACATACCTTATAAATATTGTGGTTTAATTTCAGACCACCTTAATAAAGTGAGTTGTAATCTTTTTGTTGGTAGAGGGTCATGACTTCAACTTATTTTTTTTTAAAAAAGGGGCAACAACTGTGAAGCATAATAAAGCAAACTAAGCACAATAAAATGAAGTATGCTTGTATTTTAAGTGGCTTTTAGACATAGCTTTCTATGAATACAGCGGTGCTTGCTGAGGAAAATCTTATGTAACAGCCCTTTCCCCGAGCCTTTGTGCCCTCCTAGACACAGATGTTTTATTAAACTTGTGATCATGTAATATCACTGATAAAATAATGGCTTTTGAAGCAAAAGACAAATTGGCCTTTTAGCAGTAAGCACTCTCAATTTTTATGGTAAGGTACTTCCTCTTGTATGATTTGGAATGAGGTTGTGATGGTCTCAGAATAATTATGTTCAGCAGATATTTGTTCTGCACCCATGTGCCAGGTACTGCTGTAGGCTACCAGAGTGAATATGACCCCTGGCCTCCTGTAGCTCAAAGTCTGGGCAGTTGGCCATGTCCCAGTCTCGCTGTTTGCTTAGCTCCAAACATAAAGCAAAACTTTGTGTGGTGAGTGGCTTTTTGCAAGGATGAAACATGGAAATTTGACAGACCTGCAGGACAAAAGCATATAAACACCTGTAATTTTAGGAGGCATGACTAGTACTATGGTGGCAAATGAGTCTCCAGTGGACCCTAGCCATTCAAAATCAACAAAAATGGATTTGTAGAAAATTAAGATCCATTCTTCCCACTTCCTCCCATAAGAGCCTACTACAGAGAAGTGTTTTGGTAGTCTGTGAATGTTCATCTCTTCTACCTGTCTTGATCCATTCCCCACAATTCTGTAGGTTCCTGATGGCCTCCAGTACCTATCAACCCACCTCATGCCCCTTCTTCAGAATGTAAATTCTGAACCTGTACTTAAAGAGGTATAAATACATTTAAAGCTACTGAACTCTACCAGGTCTATTTTTGGGGAAACACACAAAAATCTGAAGAGCTCCCCCTGCTGACTTTTTAGCAGACAGCTCTAGCTCTGTCATAACAGCAACTGATAATAAAGAAGGAAGTGAAGTTAATGCTGCCTACTATGAGCTAGGTACTGTTCTAATGCTTTCCCAATCATTATCTCCTTTAATCATTGTAACAACCCTGTGAAGTAGATGGTGCATTTCCATTCTACAGGGAAGAAAACTGAGGTTCAGAGAAGTTATGTCACTTGCACAGTATAACACAGTGAGAGGTAGTAGTCCTGGAACTTTAAACCAGGTTGGTCTGTCTGACTTATAACAACTCTGTTCTGTCTTCTGTGCCATGTTTTAACTGAGTTCAAGTAGGGAGTACCTGCCAAAATGTTAAGCTTATAATATTTTCCTGCATGTTTGAGGTTCATAAAACTGAAATGAGAAGCCCTGGCATTTGACATATTCCTGGTAATTACTGGAAGAACAAAAATCTTCTGAAGGCTTGGGACCTGGGTAATGTAGGGTATTAGATATCTGGCCTGCCTAATCTTTTTGACTTTCATCCTAATGAGCATCTGCTCCCAGCAGATGGTTGGCCTGATGTACTTAATTGAGTATTTTGATTAAAACCAATGGGAAGTGTCAGTGTTTTCTTGTTCCTAGCCACAGGTCATTGGGGCCTGGTCGAGTGTCCTGGGCTAGCAATGGCTTTGTGCCCAGCCATTCTAATTTCTCTTAGATTTCTTTTTCGATCCAGTAGACAATACACATTCTGAACCTGTACTTAAAGAGGTATAAATACATTTAAAGCCAATGGAACTCTACAAAGTATATTTTAGGAGTGTTTTAGGAGTATGTTCTTCAGTTTTTCACATACTTCTGAATTTCTTAAATTTTCTTGTGTTGTTGATTTCT